AAAGTTTATTTTGCATTAGGTATTTATATTTTATTAATTTTATCTTATTAACTGTGTTTTATAATGTTATTTATACTGAATGTATATTATGTTTTTTTTAGGTACATAACTTTGACTGATTAAGGAGTCAATAAATCAGGATGATATAAGTAACGTTTGATTTTTAAACGCTCGTGTATGTTACTTAATACTAAACGGAGTCAACTTTATAAATAATAAATAGCGCGCTTTCCATATGACGATAACGATAATGGTTATACGAAATTCATATAAATTTAGATAAACCAACGGTCTCAATGAGAAACCTTCGAATAATAATATTTCCGCATATTGCGGTGGAAAAATAGTATTTCCGCATAATTCGTCTTACGTTCGCGAGAACTTCTAAACAAAAAAACGAGCCGAAAGATGAAGACAGTCGTACATCACGCAAAAGCTGAAATATTTAACGGAGTCAAAACGAAGAAAATTTGCAAGGGCGTGCAGTTTACTTGATAAAGAGTCAGGTTATAGCGGGGAAAAGGAAGAGCAAAACAATCCCGGCGCGAGAAAAATAGATCGGGCCGCAAACTTAAGGTTTATATTTTATAATGTTGGGAGAGCTGGAAGGAGGAAATTTATACGGGGCATTGCATTTAGTTGAAAAATATATTTCAATTTCATTTACTGCGAGATCGCCCTGTCAAATATTTAGAACCTGCTGACGGACTTACGCTCGAAAGTCACTCGAATTTGGATTCGCTAATAGCATCGCTAATCGCCAGTACAATAACGTACCGCGCCCTTTCTTTCGTCTACAGGGTGTCTAGAATTTTAACCATCAAAATAGAGAAATTGACAGGGTAAGTAAAAATAAAAGCCCCTTGCTACATAAACGTGAAAAAATTAAGTCGCTACTCAAACCAGTGACGTAGATATGAAACATTCTTAGATATTTCCCAAAAAATTGTAACACGCCACTGGAAAAACATACTTTTTCATTTTTTAAATATAAATTTTATTTTGTGCGATCTAATACTATTTCCACCCCTCATTCTAATCGCAAGGAATACGCCATAGCCGTAGACGTGTGTGGAGGAGGGGGCGGCATATTATTATTCACCGGACCGCCCTACGAGTTCTAAATAACCTTTAGAACTAATCTAAACACATTTTTATAGAGTCTAGGCAGTTCTAATATTTTTTATAGTTTCCCCGCTGTCGCATATATCGTCCGTTGTAACCGGAAAATAAAAACATAGCAACTCTGATAACGCTGCTTACTGCACCCCGCCCTTTCTCATGGCTGAGTAGTCTGAAATTTTACCCGTATAATTCGTGTGCCCCTCGTGGGGTTGACCTATCGGTATGTTTCAAATTAACCAACCAAAAACAGAGGATGCCATGGAAATAAGATTGTGCGAACCCTTCCTGTCTCTTAATTTACGAGAATTATGTTTAAATATGTGCAAAAGAGATAATGACTTTAGCCTTCCTCTATATATTTTTATTTAATGGTGAGGCATCGCACACAACATTAATTTTTCTTTATTGCTCGGAAAACTAAGGAAATTTCCATTTCGGAAGACGGACTACCCTTCATTTTAACCGCACATATTTGTCTAGGCACTCTATTGTTACTTCGTACATCGATCAATATCTATTGTGTAATATTACAAAATTCAGTATTGTTTACTCCTACTTATAAACCAGAAATTAAAAATAATTTTATTTTTTTTTGCAGAATCGCTGTTTGGCAATGTTTTTTTTTTATTGTAACTGTTACAAATTAATTAACACAATTACTGATTAAAATATAAAATTATCAATGTAGTATTTAATAAATGCTAAATTTATAAAACCATTAAATTATGCTCGTCAGTAAACGCATTAAGATATTAATACAGATTTATTAATAACTACTAGCAACTACATATACATTTTTTAGATATTAAATGAACTGTACCTATATCTATAATTAAATATTAACCTACAGACTAAAAATAGGCCGATAAGATCACAACATATATACAATAGGTAGTGATAAAAGTTTAAAATTTTTTACAAGAGATTTGTAACTACAGTGCCTTTCAAAAAATGCAGTAAAAATTATGAAGTAATTTTACGTTTACATTACATATATAAATGTAATTTTACAACCATTTACAGTGGGTATACATTTTTCTATCAGTTTCAGTTATTTTCCATACAATCTTACACCGGAATTGCCGCATTTGGTCAAATTGCAAAATTACTTAATTAATTTAATCATTTTTATATACTTACTTCTAATTATACAATTATACATACAACTGTAATTTTACAGTATAAAATTACATCCTCCTTGAGCAGCTTGGAACATTTATAGATGTTTTTAATCTAGTTTAAATGTAAAATATCGAATGTAATTTTACACAATTTGAAGAGAATTTTATTGTATTGCTGGTAACATGTTACTTATTTCAGTTGTTGTAATTTTATTGTATTGCAGTATCATACACGTCTTCACTGTAATATTACTTAAATATTTTTACTATTATACATTATACATACAACGGTAAAATTACAATATAAAATTACATCTTCCTTGAGCAGTTTGAAACATTTATAGAAGTTTTCAATCTAGTTTAAATGTAAAATATCGAATGTAATTTTACAGAATTTAAAAGAGAATTTTATTGTATTGCTGGTAACATGTTACTTATTTTAGTTGTTGTAATTTTATTGTATTGCAGTATCATACAATCGTCTTCACTGTAATATTACTTAAATATTTTTACTATTATACATTTACAACGATAAAATTGCAGTATAAAATTACATCTTCCTTGAGCAGTTTGAAACATTTATAGAAGTATTTAATCTAGTTTAAATGTAACATATCGAATGTAATTTTACACAATTTAAAAGGGAATTTTATTGTATTGCTGGTAACATGTTACTTATTGTAGTTGTTGTAATTTTATTGCATCATAGTATCATACAATTGTCTTCATTGTAATATTACTTAAATATTTTTACTATTATACATTATACATACAATTGTAAAATTGCAGTATAAAATTACATCTTTCTTGAGCAGTTTGAAACATTTATAGAAGTTTTTAATCTAGTTTAAATGTAAAATATCGAATGTAATTTTACAGAATTTGAAAGAGAATTTTATTATATTGCTGGTAACATGTTACTTATTATAGTTGTAATTTTATTGTATTGCTGTATCATACAATCGTCTTCACGGTAATATTACTTAAATATTTTTACTATTATACGTTATACATACAATGGTAAAATTGCAGTATAAAATTACATCTTCCTTGAGCAGTTTGAAACATTTATAGAAGTTTTTAATCTAGTTTAAATGTAAAATATCGAATATAATTTTACACAATTTAAAAGAGAATCTTATTGCATTGCTGGTAACATGTTACTTATTTTAGTTTTTGTAATTTTATTGTATTGCAGTATCATACAATCGTCTTCACTGTAATATTACTTAAATATTTTTATTATTAAACATTATAGATACAACGGTAAAATTGCAATATAAAATTACAAGTTTTTAATCTAGTTTAAATGTAACATATGGAATGTAATTTTACAGAATTTGAACATGTTACTTATTTTAGTTGTTGTAATTTTATTGTATTGCAGTATCAAACTGTATGATACGATTGTATGATTCATACAATCGTCTTCACTGTAATATTACTTAAATATTTTTATTATATCTACAACGGTAAAATTTCAGTATAAAATTACTTCTTTTTTGAGTAGTTTCGGACATTTAAAAAAGTTTTGAATCTTTCTTAAATGTAAAATCCTATTGAGGGCGAAAGCGATTTTCCAAAATATTACAGTCACTTTATAATTGTGAATTTACATTTCATGTTATTGCTGGCAATTGTTGTAATTTTATTGCATTTCTTTTCAACATTTAGGTACAAAAACTGTTTACCCAAAAATGGAAGTAAAACATTTATATAATATATAAAAAAAATGGCGGGTGATTTCGAGATTAACGGGGACCATTTACGGTGCTCAGAAAAGCCCTCGATGCGAAGGGCACTTACAGACAATTATCGACACCCAAACGATATAGTCAAAGGGTAAACAGACGTCTATCAACAATAAACGTCACATACACAATGATAATCGATGTCTACGTTCTATTCCCGTCCCGCTCTACCATGCTCAGACTGGTTGATTGTACCGATACTAGGCTAGGCCGATTTCCGAAATGAGGAGTAACGTGTGCGTGGACATGGAAAATTATTTGCAACTACGACATTACCTCTATCTGTGTCCTCGACAGAAGCAAGTTATCAGAGAATCTTTCACAATTTCTCAATAGTACCGACTTAAGTATTTGTTTTTGTACTGGTGGTTTTGATTGCTTTTGTGGTTGTATATGAATTAACAAACGAACGATCGATATCGAATGAATATCAAGAAAATTGTGGCGCTAGATTTGTTGTCTAACAAGTGGGAACGAGTTTTATTCCTAAAGGGCGCCACCACAGTTATAAATTTAATAATAATTGCTTTACGAGCATTTTTCTGCGTGTATACTTATATATACAGGGTGTTAATGATATACTGTACGAAATTTAAGTGTCACAAATCAATAAAAAAAAGTCCTGATGAACATGCGTCAGTAAATAAAATAAGCCTGTGATTTAATTGAATACATCGAAAACTATTTGTTTCATAAAAAAAATGTTTGGAATACAATTCTAAATACAACGTCGCCGTAGCAATTTTATTTATTTTTTTTGGGGGTAAGAAAATTCAGAAAATTAAAAATCCTAAAAATCATTGTCGCAATTTTTTTAAATTTCAACAGTGTTTCGAAAACGAACCATTTTCGGACACTTTGAACTCATTTTATTAGTTTGTGACGTAGAATGCACCATTGAGGTTTGGCAGAGTATTTCATTATCATCCTGTATACTTCCAAAATTTTAATAATAATTTTTGTTTATGAAAATAATTACGTTTTTAATTTATTTTCATTACAGGGCCATATCGGCGACGTTCCCTTTGAAAGTGCTGTTGGATGGACCACAAAGAATCACTTTTCAGCAGCTACTAGCCCTTGGCCACCCACAATCAGGCATTCTAGATATAGTGTAAGTTTTGCTTTTTTAAAATGTAAAAAATTTAGATGTGGTTTAAATAACGAAAAACTATTCTTTTAAAACATTTCAGAAACATCTAGTATCGTACACAACATTGCAGGGCTGGTACTGTCAGTTAAAAATCCCTAAATCATGGCGTTCCGTCAAAAATTACAACAATTACAGCCGGTGAAGCAGAATTTTGCGTTTTAATGTGATCTTGATCTTATTATTTTAATAATTTTTAAATTTTACCGAAATCTAACTTGTAATCATTTATGAAGGCTATGTACAAGTCTAAATATACAGGGTGTCCCATAGGTAATGGTACATGGAGCAACAGTGGATTCTACATACTAAAATATTACGATTTAACCAAACTTACTTTTCTAAAAGTTCTAAAGGTTCTCCGAGATGACGAATTCAAATCCGTCATAACGTTGCTGTTACTTATTAGATGGCGCCACTTGCGGCACTTTTAAAAATAATAAAAACAGTTTTTCTCTTTGACGCACTGTAATTTTTTAAGTATCAACTTTTGAACTAAGGTAAGTGTGGTTAAATCATAATATTTTAGTGTGTAGAATCCGCTGATGCCCCATGTACTATTTTGGGACACCCCGTATTTTTTATAAAATTATGATATACTAAAAGTGGCGCCCTTCGGGTGTTACAAAAGTAAATGTCCAGCAACTAAATTAAGGATATTTGAACTATGATTCTGCAGTTACGCCATAACTTGTTTTTGTGTTTGTATTCTTATATTCCAAGATAATGAGCAGAACATATTGTGCTACGTCATAATTATTCCTATTTATTTTGCGGTTATCTAGTCCGTTATCTTTTTTATAGTTATCTATATATTTGTAGTACATTTGTACGTATATCCTCCGCGACGTACACTTTCGTGACGTTAACGAATTTAAAAAAAAATCTACAATATACAGGGCGATTCACAAATGATGACCAAAAATGAAACCTTGTGTTCTTTGGTGAATTTTAAGGGGAATCTGTCCTATAAAGTTTTTATCTAGGACGCTTCGTTAAAAAGATACAGGGTGTTAAACTTCAAAACATATTTTAGTTTTTTTTGATAATTTAAAAACAAGTAAGTGAAATAATTTGAAATTGGGCACATGTATTTATGTAAACATTATCCAAAATCTGAAGCTTTTTTCTAAATAAAATAGTACGCCTCTGCTTTACGGTAACAACCTTGATATTTTCGGATTTGTCTCAATTTTCTACAAATTACTGTTTTTTGAAAAAAGCCTGATTTTCGAGTAAAACTTAAAAAACCAATAGAAAACACTTTTACTTAAATGACATGACAAGCACTAATCATTCGGTTATTTATTCGAATAAAGAAATTAATAACATTATTCATCATTTTAATGATTTTATTTGAGTAAATGCTCAAAAATACCTCCATTTCCACGAAAATGTAATTTGTTTGAAATTTACTGTTGCTTGAATCTGATGAAAAGCATTATTTATTCTTTCTTCTAACTGCTCAGAATGTCAAAGTTGCTATCGCAGCCCACCATGTAATTTTAAAAAGCATTGTATTCGAATATCGAAGTGTGTTCTCAGTTCGTTTTTTAAGATTTACTCGAAAATCAAGATTTTTTTGAAAAACATAAGAGAGTAGTAATTTTGTAGAAAATTGAAAGACTAATCCGAAAATATCATGGTTGTTACCGTATAGCAGTGACGTACTATTTTATTTAGAAAAATATGTCACCGATATCCTGTATCTCCGCCACTGGAGAATGTAAATTTTAAGAAAAGCGCTCAGAGTTTGGACAATGTTTACATAAATTTCAAATTATTTCACTTACTAGTTTTTAAATTATTTAAAAAAATAAAAAATATTTTTATAAGTTTAACACCCTGTATCTTTTTAACGAAGCGTCCTAGATAAAAACTTTATAGGAAAGACTCCCCTTAAAATTCACCGAAGAGTACGAGGTTTCATTTTTGGTCACCATTTGTGAATCACCCTGTACTAACAGTGTTCAATATTTCATTCTTGTCGAAATGGCATTTTTTATTCTTGTAAGTTAGAGAAATATGGGCAATGAAGTCACACATTAATGCTCTCCTGTTTTAAAAGTTTAAACGTATTTCATGTACCAGCGGTGTTTATTGTTGACATGTGAATAATACATAAAATTAATGTGATTGCGAATTTATCTCGCTAGCACTTGTTACCATGTTACGTAAAAATAAATATCGAATTAACATAATCCTCTGTGTTTAGATTTTACGGAGTGTAAACATTCTTTTTCCAACTTTATAACTTATAAAATATTCAGTATAAACTTGTAGGGGAACTTTCCCGGGCAGAATTTTCACACTTTGAAGATCAAGAAAACTTTGGAAATAATGGTGTTATTCTGAATTAAATGAATCGTTGCTGTTACTCAACTATTCGATACACGCTCCCCAAATTGTCAAATTCACTAAACCTTCAAATTCGAAACTATTAGAAACCTGCAGTTTTCACAGTTCGTCTTGGTATAAATTACTCTTGTCACTGTGAGCAAAACGTGTACGTTATTCAGACTCGGAAATAGTGAGACCTACATTTAATAATCTTAACGAGTCGAAAAACTTTTTTTTTCAAATGGATTGACCCATATTAATTGTCATGGGTCGACTTGGTAGACAAATGTTTGTTTCAGTTTCGTGTGTTTTGCTATTAACAGCGTTGGCGGTCACAAACGAAAAATTATAAATAAAAAGACATCGATGAAAAGTTTGAACGTATTTTCGCAATAAAACAGAATTAAAAGGGTAAAACCCTGAGCCGGAGAGCAATAAATGTGCGCCCCTATGTTTTAAATCTTTGGCACAAACAAAGCTTGTCTCTTCGTACTTCCGAAAACGTCGAACTTATTATGATACTATTATGGTGTAAACAACAAACAAGGGAGGGAATTTACATCGAGAATTAGGCACAGGCGTACATTGGGAAGGTCCCCTCGGGCTATTGGATCTACCAGTTTCATTTTTTATCGATTTTCCGTTTCTAAATTGTTTGTTAAGTTTTCAACTCTTTATTTCCTCCAGATTAAATATAAAACCTGTTCGAAGGATTCTGAAAAAATGGTTTGCCCTAAAGGGTTGTTTTTGTTGCTGTGTATCCTGCCAATATAAACATTTCTGTTGGAGCATTTAATTTACTTTAATATACATCTGTTGGCTGATCTCTCATGGCCCCAACTTGAACATTTACACGAGGAATAATTAATAATCGTCTTCAATGTTTTTAATCACAATGAAAATACGTACCTTTAACAGAAAATATGGAATTAAAAATTTCATAAGAAAAACATTGCACACTGTTCATTTCTCTAATATTTAATTCAATAACGTTGATGCGAAATAAATTGTACACTTATTTTTAATCGAACATTTAATAGATAATTTGCTACATTTTAGTTGAAAATGGATATCACACAAACATTTCTTATCAACTGAATACGTCCTTGAAATGTTTATAAATATTTATCAAAAAGAAACAATAATAATTGTTAAATGTAAATATATCCTATATTTTTTTGTAAATATGATCGCGTACTATCGCTTACATACTTCATTTAAAATAATCTTTAATGTCATTAAATTGCTTATTGCAGTGGCGGAGCTGATTACAATCTTATAGACTAATTGACCCTTGGAATTTCAAACGAAATTCAAAAGACTGGCATTATTATACGATGATCGCAGTGGCGTAACCTACACCGAAGCTGATTATGAATATGATTTTTTTTTATTTTTGACAAAGTGAAGTGCAATTCAGAAGGGTAGAGAAATATTCGTTTGCAAAAATCATTTTAATTATACATTCTATTTTGTTTCTAAACAAAATATGATTTTTTATTTTTGATACTGGCATTAAACTGTTTACTGCAGTGTTATAATAATTATGAAATTCAATAGTGTAGAGAAATATTAATCTTGCGTAAAATTCGTATTTATTCTACTACTACTTCTAGTTGTTCCAAAGAAAAGCATGAACTTTTTATTTTTGATATTCTCTTTAAATTATTTATTACACTGGCGTAGCTGAGATATATTCAGTTTTAATTTGGTACAATAATTGCCTTAGAATTTTAAAGTGAAAGTGAAGTGGAATTCAAAAGGGTAGAGAAATATTATTTTGCAAAAATCATTTTAATTATACAATTTTATATTCATTTCTAAACAAAATTTGATTTTCTTATTTTTGACACTGTCATTAAACTGTTTACTGCAGTGTTACAATAATTATGAAATTCAAAGGTGTAGAGAAATATTAATCTTGCGGAAAATTCATATTTATTATATAGCTTAGTAATTATTCCAAAGCATGAACTTTATGTTTTTGATATTATCTTTAAATTATTTATTACACTGGCGTAGCTGAGATATATTCACTTTTAATTTGGTACATTAATTGCCTCAGAATTTTAGAGTGAAAGTGAAGTGAAATTCAAAAGAGTAGAGAAATATTCTTTTGCAAAAATCATTTTAATTATACAATTTTATATTTGTTTCTAAACAAAATACGATTTCTTTTATTTTTGATATTGTCATTAAACTGTTTACTGCAGTGTTATAATTTGAACCAATTTTGAAATTCAAAAAGTTAGAGAAAAATTAATATTGCCTAAAAATCAAATTGTATAATAATACAATTTTGTAATTATTCCAAAATATACCATGAACTTTTTAATTTTGTTACTGTCTTTAAATTATTTATTGCAGTGGCGTAGCTGATATATATTTAGTTGTAATTTGGTAAATTAATTCTATAATTTTGAAATAAAAGTGAAATTCAAAAGTGCAGAGGAATATTCTTTTGCAAAAATTATATTTATTATACAGTTTTATATTTATTTCAAAACAAAATTTGAACTCTTTTATCCTCTTTTTATTAAATTGCATACTGCAGTAGTGTAGCTGTTTTGTACTTCCTGCAAAAATGAATATAAACTTTTTTTTATTTTCTCAGTTCTGAATTC